CTCATGGTTTTAAGCATTTTTTCCTATTTCTTTATACATTATGGCCCCCTCAAGGAATCTCCTGAATCCGACATGGTGAATTGGATTTGGAACCCTGGAGATCAGAATGATGTCAACATTTAAAACTATAGGTGCAGTTTTTACAAGGTTGTAACCTTAACCAATCCAATTAAGTTAACCTCAAATTTTATCATAACACGTAATTTTGGTAAAAAAATATTCTTAGGCTTATCTCAAAATCTATTTTGATATCTAATTATAAAATTTTAAAATCCAAAAACGGTTAAAATCAAGTAGATCTACAAACATATGAAAATCTTGAAAATGGATGATCTAGATAATGTATTGCAACTCAAAATCTTCTTCTTCTTTTTTTTTTTTTTTCAATATTCATATATCTTGATGTCGAGATGATCAATTAGAAATTTTTTCCAATATTAAAACAACTTTTTCTTATAGATTTTTGAGGTGCATCTGTAATTCTACATTTTAAGATTACAACTTTATATAAATTTCTTTTAGTTATTTCTCTATTTCAAAGCCTTATTAGTGGAAGGGGATTCACAAAATACGATTGAGTGATGTTGCAGTGAGCATAGAATCCCTTGACGACTTAGATCCCTATGGATGCAAATTTCAAATGGGACAAGTTTTCTATGAGTCCCAAGACTCACCTACTTGAATGAGTGATTTCTCTAAAATTCATCTTGACGATGGATTTGGGATCCAAAATTTAGGGGTCCATAATCTCCACCTTGGTGAATATAAAGGAAATTTTTTTTTTTTAAAGTAAACGTTGGTAGTTTTTAAGGTTAATTTAAGACTTTTTATTTTAGTATTGGGAGGGACCACCATTACCAACCATCCATCTTTGAGATGGATGGTTGGTGCGTAAGGTAATGTATATGTGGAAGTGTGTCCCCTGACCCAAAGTACACTTTGCCTTTCAAATATCTTAGGCAAGTTTACTGTAGCTTTTGGACCAAACAAGGGATGACTCTTCAATCTTCGTTCTCTTAAATTCTCCCTATTTGCAACTTTTTGACTTTAATAAAGGAAAAAGTTTATATAAAGTTCACATTTTAAAATGTAAAATTAAGGTGTACCCAAAAATCCTTTCGAAATAGGCTGGTTTGATGTTGAAAAAATAACTAATTGACCATCTCGACATTGAAATGTATGGATATAGAGCAAAAAGAGATTTCAAATCCCAAAAATGGTACATCTTACAATACATTATCTAGATTGTCCATTTTCAAGATTTTCATGTACTTATAGATCTTGATTTGAACCACAATTTAAAAAAATGAATCGGTGACTTGGATCGGTCACCCCAAAAATTGTGTCCAGTTGGTGGATCGGCTAGTTTTGAACTCAACTTTTTTAAAAAAATACTAAAAACCGCTAAAACAATAGTTTTGAGTTTTCAAACAAAAATAAGAGTGCATACATTATGTACTTTCATTATTTGTAAAAAAATGTGTGAATGTTGAGACATTATTTTTCGATTTGCATATCTGTTTAATTATTAATTATAATATAGTATTATAATATTACATCAAAATGATTAAAAATATCAAATAATACTTCCATATTATAGGATTAAAATAATAATACCCCTTATAAATGAAATTAGTATCATATCAAACATTTATTAATTCCCTTTACTCATTCAAAATTATCGCAATCTAAATAACTACAATATTGTACACCGAAATTAGAATTATTAATTTATTTTTGTAATTATTTTACATACAAATGAGAATAAATTTTAAATTTATCAAATTTAAAAATTTTTCTTGTAAGATCATCTAATTTAAAAATATTATTTTCAATTATAACAAAAAAATATCATATTATATATTTTATAATATAAATAAATTAATAAATAAAATACAAGACTTGGTTATTAGGGTATAATTATTAATTTTATTATTATAATAAACATGATTCAAAAAATACTAGAAAACACTCATATGATTAAAAAAAACCTGATAAGTTTCAATGTTATGACATTAGAAAGAAGTATTCAAAAAATATGTTTCCTCTAAAAAATGGAAAGTAATGATATCAAAATTTAGAAAAATAAAACATAAAAAATGTTGGACCGCATATCATATACATTGTATGGTTTATTTTGCAAAGGGATAGTATATTTTCATATTTTATCTCTATTAGTTGTGACTATTCTATTGACTAGATTCAAAATTCAAAAAAAAAATTTCTAACTTTATGACAGTAACTAAGTTGTCCCATTCAAAATCAAATGGCTGGGTTACTTTACCTTTATTAATGGTCTCACCCATAAAATAAAACTCGAAAAACAGTTTGGTAAACAAACATCTCTCTCCTAGAGATAGATTCTTGAACTAAAGGTACCCTAAGGGATTTTCTAGAGTATTTTTATTTGGGATTGTATTCAATGAGACGATTTACCTCTAATACAAAAAGGTCACAGTTACTTACAACCATCTAATGTGAAATTTGATAGCTTGGATGTGTCGCAAAAGTCAAAAAAAATGTGTAATGCCCCGACTTTATTCACCCCCCCCCCCCCCCCCCCCCCACTGAGATGTTCTAGAGAGAGCGGGGTAAAGGAAAATAGTCTAGCTTTTTAAAAAGCAAACGAGAGAACAAACTGTACAGGAGTGTTGGGTAGCAGAACAAGCGTCGTGCATGAGGAGTGGGAATAATTGTGTTGGGTAATGAAGCAAGTACCACGAAACCATAGAAATCGCTTTGACGCATTTGGTTCAAAAAAAAAAAAACCGTAGAAATCAGCTTGAAGCATTCTGTTCACTCTGACATACAAACCCAAATGGACCTGGCTGATTCATGATATATGAAGGGAACTGGATAGCGAATGGCAATTCTCGATTTGGATCAGGCAATTTTGATATGAATTGCCGAATTTTAAAACCTTGATTTGAACCATTTTTAGAGAGAAAAACTTTGTACAAGGATAAAATCTTCAAATGTAGAATCAAGGTGTCTTTCTAAAATCTTTCGAAAAAGATTTATTTTGATGATAGAAAATCATCTAATTGATCATCTCGACATCGAGATACACAGATATGGAGAAAGAAATACATTTCAAGTCTTAAAAGTAGTACACCTTCCAACACACCGTCCATTTTCAATATTTTCTTGTGTTTATAAATTATTTGATTTGAACCATTTTTGGTGTTTAAAATTTTATAATTAGAGACAAAAATAGATAATTGTACCATTCTAAGAATTTTCAACACCAAAATTACATCTCATGACAAAAGTTTGGAGGTGTACCTTGCTTTGATCATTTAAGGTTTTAACCTTACGCAAGCCACACCTTTTTTAGCGTTTAAAATTTTATAATCAGATATAAAACTAGATTCTTGTGCAAACTTAAGAATTTTCAATACCAAAACTGAAAGAAAGACTATTGTAATCTTGTAGGGGAATATAATTTTTTTTATTTTTCTTCTTTTCACCCCTTTTATTTTCTTTTAGCAAAGATCACTTACAAGTAGTCTTATTACAATAATTCTTGCTTCAAATAAAATAAAACTGACAAATCCAAAAACTTAAAAACCTTGATGTCATTAAACCAATTTTTTTCAAACAAAAAAATATTCACAATTTTTATGCTTGGGAATATAAATATAATATAATTAAATATGACAAGAAACAAAATAGAGTGTTAGAGATTACCTTAACCGGGCTTAGTACACCCCATACCGAGTCACCACCATCCGATGGCGTGGGATCTAAGATCAACATTCAATCTCAATCGGGAAAACAAGTTTAGCCAAGCCACACCAATAGAACATGAACCCCTTTTATCATAAACTCAAACCCTAAGTAAATTCCCTTAGCACCCTAGTGTGAGAGATATAAATTCTCTTTTTGTTATACCCTAAAACCCTTAGTCATAAATCTATAGTTGAGAGATGGGAGAGAGAAGAACCCTATAGCCTAAACCCTTTGCCCATTTTTAGAAAGAGATCAAAGATGAGATAGTGGGATGTGCCCCCTTTGAGCTTTCATGAGATCGAGAGAAACTTTTTTAGGAGAAAGATAAAAAGATAAGAGACAATTCATTTTTTATAAGCTTTTAAAATGATTAGGGTTTTCCTTGGCTTGCATTTTCTTGTGAGATTGAATATGAACCATTGATCTTGGGTGACTTGTGGGGTAAGAGATTTGAGCCATCCATTCTCTAGATGGTCCATCAATATTACGGAAGGTGCTAGAACCTTTATCACCATTTTTTAAACCATTTTTTCATCCATATAAATTAAATAAAATAATTTCAAATATAATATTGTGCATACCAAAATAATACACAAGCCTTCTCATGCTTTCTAAAAATACATTCAAAACTTCTTCAAGCCAATACCTTTCCAAAACACATAACAACTTGGCCTACAAGCCAAAGTCACTTATCACAAAGATAGAAAGCTTCTAAATGGGTGAAGCGTGCCACCCATGACAGGATCTCATGGGTCCCACCATCTAGCCCATGATAGGCCTATGTGCACAATGGACCCCATACAATTTTAAATATTTTTAAAACTCAATAAAATAATTGTATATTTTATTTGAATATTTAAATCAATGTAAAATCAATATCTCTGATTTTTTAAATCTAAATTTGATAAATAAAATATTCAAAGATCTAGAAAAATTCAAATACTAATTCTAAAGTCATATATATATATATATATATATATATAATAAAATATATATAATTAAATTCATTAGATGAAAAAATGATCCATATGGTCTAGAAATGAAATCAATAAAACATTGGGGCACTCCACATTCAACTGTGGATTACAGACCACACTTGCTTTATCAAAACGACCCATTTTTTTCAATGGCCCACAGTCTATGCAGGGACTCATTAGTGGGTCACCAAAGTCTGGCCGATGAGCCACAAAATCGCAATCCCAGTACGTGAATTTCGGCTTCTCCTCTAGAGACAGGCCAAGGTCACTTAGGCCTGATGCGACCATAGCTCATATGGCGCTTAAGGGTATCTCTCCCACATGCATACGCTTCACTTTGAAAGGTGGCTTGCTTTCCTGAAACAGTCAATCAATATGCAGGCCGTGTGATGGTACATGGATGAGGCTTTGGCCCCGTCTCTGAAAGCCACCATCACACAAAGGTCACACAGTCCCTCAGCTCACTCATCTTGGCATGCTCCTACCTCATCAAGGGATGACCCATTATACCCTTATTGGTTTTTACTATATGCCCAGGTAACATAAGTTTTCTCAACCGACTGACCTAGGCTGTCAAACACAGTTCGGTATCAATAAACATCGTTTGCTTAGTATGGTCCACGAGAGACCACACTCCCACTGAGCTTATGTTCCACTATATCATTTATTTTACAAGCACTCATAAGGCATTTAATTGCCACATTCACCCAACAAGAACCACAACTTACAACAAAGTTTGGAGGTACGCCTTACTTTGATTATTTAAGATTGCAACCTTATAGCAACCACACCTTTAATAAATAAAAAAGAACAATTGTTTCAAGCGGCCTGGACTGCATTTCTACAATATGTTGTCCATCTATCTTAAAGAGGGATACAAATAGATTGTCTGTCTAAAAACATTTGTAACTAACGGTCCAAATGCTTTCTTAATATAATTATTATTTATAGTTTTCATATTTTATTTCCATAATCATGATCTCCATGTCAAAGACTATATATTCTCTAAAAATTAGGATCAAATTATATTTAAAATATATATTTATTGCCAAGCCCACATTTCTACATGTGCGGGCTTGGCCTCATGCTAACCGTGTCCGTAATAAAATTAGTAATTATCATGAAAGAGAAATTTTTCTCCATTTCTTTATAAAATGGGTGCAATTGGCATACAGATGCATCTGTAGCTGTAGAGGTAAGGTGCACCTTCAAATTCTACCATGGTATATAATTTTGATGTAAAATGTTCTTAAGATTATCTCAAAATCTATTTTTATATCTAATTATAAAATTTTAAATTTAAAAATGGTCAAAATCAAGTAGATCTATAAACATATGAAAATCTTGAAAATGGACGGTGTAGATAATATGTTGTAAAATGAACTATTTTTGAAACTTAAAATCTTTTTATTTTTCATGGTTATACATCTCGATGTCGAGATGATGAATCAAAGGGTTTTTCAACGTTAAAACTACATTTTCTGATAGATTTTTGAGGTGCATATGTAGGTCTACATTATAAGGTTGCATCCTTATATAAATTTTTTTCTTATAAAAATAGCCCCAACTAAGAATACGTCGAGTGGGACCGGATGAACCGGAATTGGACACGAAGCTGGTGCGGGGCCCAAGGCCAGACACCGGCTTAGGCTAAAGTCCTTTCCCAATATGCATTTTCAAAGTTACCAACAAACTTTTCTTGGCATTTATAGTAAATTGGAATCACTTTAAAGGAGTCCAAAGATTTGGAGCACTTCCGCTAAACGCCATAGGATGATGTTACATATTATAAAAGTGCATCAAACAAAACTAAAATGCCCCTCCCTCTCTTGACCGGAACAAGAGCCTTGGACTTGTCATGGGCTCACACTTCCACGTCCCAAAATGGCCAAGACAATCGTGCCTTTGGGCCCACCTATCTCAATCATTTTATTTCTTTTCGAGCCATGTGTTGTGCTCCCTGGGGAGCATAGTTTTCTTTTGTTCGCTCTGTCAGCAGATCCACATGGGAGGATTTTTCCAAGGAAATATACAATAAGGCTGTGTACTTTTGATATCATTGACTTTTGAATTTAAAATTAGGTGGTTGATGTTGTATCATTTATATGCACAAAATTCAAAACAAAAATCGGTGTCACACAAATTTTTTTATTAGATTTTACATAAAATGGCTAAAAATAAATGTCACCTCCTTATACAAAAAATATGTGGTCTTATAGTACACAATTCTTCGTCTTTCTCAATATGAGATTTTTTGAACTTTTTTACGTGTTACTAAATAACTATTATGAAAAACATTCAAATTTGAGTTTTCTAATATTTATATATCGGCAACTACAAATTAAATGGTTTAGACCCAATCTCAAGACATTAGTACAAGCGCAAAGAGGGTACAACTAGAGACTTTTTTATTATTTATCTGTGGATTAAAAAGGACACATCCTTAAAATTTTAAATCTTAAAATTAATTCTAAGTAAGGTTTTACCTCGTCAAAATTTACCTTCCTAAAATTAATTCTAAGTAGCGTTTTACCCAAGTGAGTAAATGAATACCCTTGTCCTACGGAGTACGATATAAAGTACCAACAGGCATATTTCACTACTGTTGACAAGGAATGACCCAAAGAAGTTACAAATTTTCTAGTATTTGTCAATAAAAAAAAAAAAGTTGCAAATTTTCTCAATCACATACCCTATTTTTGGGCAAGTAAATACCCCTTTGTCTTTGCACATGAGAGTGCCCAACATGAAATGACCAAACTACCCCTCTCCAACCCAGTCATGTGATTACATGAAGTGCCGAAATTTGCCGCTCCCCAGCTCATTACATGAAATGACCAAATTTCCCCTCTCCAAACCATTACATGAAATGACCAAATTGCCCTTTTGGAGATGCAACCCTTCCCAAATAACCAAACTACCCCTATCCCGACCTCCACAGCAACCAACCCCTATCCCATGGATGAAGGGAGTGAACAGGCCAAGATTTGTAGACATAAATTTTATGATACACCAGAATATGAAGCTCCATACCTTATCATCAATAGAGCTTCCCTTTCTTTCACTGTATAAACCACCAGAAACCTACCTAAAAATCACACAAATTCACCCCATCTCACCCTTCTTCTCCTTCTCTTTGT